TCCTCCCATGCCCCGGGGGTTGTGGTGAGGCGTCCCACTGTGCACGTGTTCCCCCATGCACCGAGGAAGCAGCGTTTATGTAAAAGCGCAATAAATAGGATGGAAGTAACAGGCAGGGCGCTTTCCGTGAGTAATTACTGGGGGTGGCAGCCGGCCAAGTGCCAGGCTGGCCACGTGTGTGCCCTCTGCCGCAAAAAATGCTTTCTATCTGTGGGCATGTGGCAGAAGGACTCGGGAGACTGCCTGGGGTGCTGCTGCCCCAGGAATTGCCCCGTGGCTCTTGCCTGGGCACTTAGCAGCTCAAGGCAACCTCAGTGTGTAGGGACAAAGGTGGGAGCAAGAGCCACCACAACCCGAAATGGAGTTGTGGGTTATGGTGGCTCCTTGTGTGAGAAGGGGGACCCAGCTGGAGCAGGGGAAATGGGATAGGGGACAGCCCTGATCCTGCCATCCCACAGCACCTCCTGCCTGCTGACAGGCTCATGCAGCCAGTGGACCTCCAAGGCCTCCCTCTGGCTGCCAGTGTCGCTGCACATGTCTGTGCCCACTGGCTGCCATCAGCTGCCACAGGAAGCTGGCCTTTTGAAATATTAATTGCTGCAGTGCTAATGAAACTGAAGTGTCCCAAGGTGCCTCCCAGGGCTGATCCCTGAGGGGCAGATTGTTCCCTGTGGTGACATACCTGGGTGCTGGGCAGCAGTGGGTGCTGATAGAGGGAAAACCTGTCTTTGCCGGCCTCCTCGGCGGTGGGGCTGATGGGCTTGGGGTCAGAGAGGGAGCGCTGCATGGTCTTGATGGGGCGTGGCAGCGTCTGCTGGCGCTGGGCTAAGTCAGTGGTGAAGTGCTTCTGCGGGGGGACGTGGGCCTTGTTCAGACGCTCGCTGGTGGCGAAGGAGGACTCCAGGAGACGGTGGGGGGACAGGGGTGAGACAGGTGAGTAGAGGACCTGGGGAGAGCGGGGTGGCTGGCGGGTCACCAGCTGGGAGAGGGATTCGGCCGGCAGATGGGACTGGTAGCCGATTTCCAGGGGATCTGGCTTCTTCTTCTCGAACTTGCCTAGGGTCTGCTGCCGGACTGCGTGAGGGTCCAGGGGGCCTGTGCTCACTATCTGGAGGTTGGTAGAGTAGGGTGGGATGGTGGTGGGCACTGTCAACTGGGGGACCACGATGCCAGGTTGAGGGGCTGGCTCTGGTTCTGTCTGGCAGGCCAGGCTCTCACCCCGCTGCGTCTTCTCTGGGGCCGAGATGTACTTCACGATCTCCACCCGGGGGTCGTGGGTGGTGATGTGGATGGAGGGGGAGACACGGAGGAGCTGGTCGGGCTCTGTTTGCACTGAGCAGTCGCTGATGGTCTGGATGCCCACACTGGCTGTACCACGGGTCACCCCGTCCGTCTTGCCCTCAGCGCTGGCCTCAGCATGCCGTGAGGCTCTGGAGCGCCGGCGGCGCACAGGCTGCTCCCACTCCCCGCTGTCCTCCTCGTCTGTCTGCACGCTGCAGTCAGCGCTGCGCCGCGTCCGCCGTCGCCGTGACAGCATGTACCGCTCCTCGCCATCCTCCTCGTCTGTCTGCACGCTGCTGTCCGCTGTCTTCCTTGCCACGAAGGCCTCCCGTGTCGTCTCCTTCTCGTAGGCATCCCGCAGCCGTGGCATCGAGTTCCTCTTCTTGATGCC